CTTGCAGCCGGGGGATGACTCTGATTTTGCTCCTGGGTAAAAACTGCAATGATGTTGGGATGGGGTTACACCTCAGACAACGGCACGGTATCCTACGAGCTTCGAGGCGTGGACCTCCCTCTGTGGGACGATGAGAACTGCACCAAAAAAAATGGACACAGACAGCTCAATGCTTTGTGCTGGCGGAATCGCGAATAAGGATTCCTGTGAGCGGGATTCAGGCGGTCCGCTGATTCTTGAGACGAATTCGCAAGACATCCTAATCGGCCTCTCGAGCTGGGGTCCGTCTCCCTGTGGCTTTGACGGCGCTCCTGGTGTGTACGCGCGCATCTCACATGCTCGCCAGTGGATTGATTCCATTGCTAACGGGACCTGCCTTGCGTAGGAGAAACGTTCTCTTTCTTATGCTGAAGAATCCTTAATTGGGTTGGTCAATAGTGCTTGCTAGGGATCAATTTTTACTTACCACAACTAAGAGCTCGAACTATATTACATGTATACATGTATGTACAATACAAAGAGTGACTACGTTTTACAAACCGTCATATGCTACACTACAGGGTTCAGTAAACAATACAGAGAGGGACAACGTTTTACATACCGTCATATGTTACACTACATAGTACACAACATAGTACAGTAGTAGTAGTACCGTAAAATGATACACTACATAGTACACTGCAAAGCTCAATAGTACCGTAGTATCTGGTGCTAATACTGATATTTAGAAAAGTTTTATCTTCTGCCCCGATGATGACTGGCCATCTCGATTTCCAAGGGTGCTGCTTCACCGTGCCATGAACTTCGTGTAGGCTTCACGATGAAACCTCCACTTTTATTACTACTGTAGACCGTATTAATATTTACGTTGTAAAAATCATGCTTGATAAAAACACAATATCTTTTTTCTAATTACATTGAAAAATGCGTTCTTTGTTTTCCTTATCTTTACCATAAGTGGGTCAATTCCATCAATTACACCCACCAAGTCAACGTACCCTTTTACCTACCTTGCGCTCAAGATACTTTTCAATGTCCAGTATTCCTTCCACGCCCAAGAGCACACTTAGCGACGATGTCGTCGCCGTGGCTCAGCAACCGCGAGGAGTTCAACCACAGTCAAAGCAGCAGGAGCAACAGCAACAGCAGCATGGCAAGCGGTGAGCTACTGGGCGAACGCCAGCCTCTGCTTGGACCGGGAAGCCCGGGTACGCGCACGGCTTCCGCTCTCTCCCCCAGCACAGGCCGTACATCCGACCGGTTGCGACGCAGCATCCACCAGGGCGAACACCACCGTCGCCAGTGCACCGATATTTTCTTCCTGGGCTGCCTCGCCACCTACTGGATCGGAATGGTGGCGCTAGCCATCACTGCCTTCTCTCACAAGAGTAGCGTGAGCTTCGCCCAGGAGATCAAGAGCGGAGTGGACTTCCAGGGCCAACCGTGTGGACAGCATCAGTTCGTTTACTTCCCAGACTACAAGACCAATCCGGACTTTGGCTTTTGTGTGGAGAGGTGTCCTCGCAAAGATGGCGAGATCATGGCGGTGCATTTACCTTTGGAGACGGGGAAAACTGTCAATGGAACGCGCGCAATGCACCAAGTTCAGTTCACATCGTACGCTACGCATCGATGGGCGTACGTGTGTGCACCGACGGAAGGTTCGTGGGGGGATTGAAAGTGATGACATTGTGGTGGTTCTAACCTTTTCTTGGTTGATGCAGTTAATTCGGAACAAGTGATGATCCGCCAATTGCAAGACACGTTAGGACGCTTTGTGGGTGCACTTGGAAATGTAAGGGAAACGTGTCTCACCTTTTTGTAGCTTCTATTAGGGTGCTGACGCTGTCCGTTACAGTGTTGGCAGGTGCTAATGATCGCAACAGCAATCTCGCTATCGACTGCGGGTCTGTATTTGGTGCTGTTACGGTATTGCGGTTGCATTAGCGTGTTGTTGTCGACGGCAGCGATCGAATCGACGCTCGTATACTGCAGTTACCGGTTACTGCATGCGGCGTCGGACCCGTTATCGTACGAGAATGACCCAGTGATGTTGAGCTCCCTCCAGATCAGCTCAGTCGTCATGTGCTGTGCGGCCGTTCTGTTCTTCCTGTTTGCACTGGTCAACATGTCTCGCTTGCTGCTTGCTGGCGCCTTTATTTCCCATGCAGCACGAGCGTTGTCCCAGTTGAAGCGACTATTAGTGCTCCCCTTCATCTCCTACGTGCTGCTCATGCTGCTGTTTGGCTGGGGAATCCTCGTGACTGTCTGCATCTTCGGAGCCGGAGAGACTTCGAGTCGGATCGCGACTATCTCCGCCACTTCACCGTCGACGATCCGGGTGGTTACCGAGTCGTTCGAAGTCAGTACGAAGCTGCGATGGCTGTTTCTCTACCATCTTTGGGGCATGTACTGGTCGGTGAACTTTGTGTTGGCAATTGGAGAGATGGTCACGGCTACGGCAATGTCGTTGTGGTATTTCGCTCCGGAGAACCGAATAACGGGGTTGAAGGAGTTTGACGAGCCCGATCCAGTGTCTTACTCAGCCCACACTACCCTCAAGTATCACCTCGGGACGTTAGCGTTGAGCTCGGGATCCGTAGCGCCGGTGGAGCACATCCGCTCGTTCTTCTTGTACCTCGAAAACAAGAACGAGTTTGATGCCAACGCAGTCACGGAGTTTGCCACCAAGTGCTGCTGTGTGAGTTGTGTTTGAGCTTGTGTGTTTGAAGATGGACGGTAGCTCTCACGTTTGGTGTTGCTTTGCGTTGTAGTGCTGCATTTGGTGCTTTAAGAATTGTCTCAAGTATATCTGCAAGGAGGCACTTTATGTCACTGCGATCCAAGGCACGAACTTCTACACGTCTGGAAAGGTACTGATTTAGAAGCGATATCTCCTAAATTTGTCACCACTGAAAAGGATTTTTTTCCTGCTGGTTTTGTAGTTGGCGTACACGCTGATTTCGTCCAACTTGATTCGCGTGGGAGCGCTCAGTCGTATCGGCCATGCGTCGGTTCTCCTCGGCAAGCTGATCGTGTGCACCACTACGGGGCTGATAGGGTGGTTCCTCCTTGAAGATGTACGTTGGACACACCTTTTTGCGGCAGAGGCTAAGTGGATTTTTAGGATACTCAAGACCAAATCTCACGCTGTAATTTCTGTCATGATAGACCCCCTCGCCTGTTCTCCCGCTGGTTGTCATCATGCTCTTCTCGTACAGCGTAGCACACGCTTTTATGACGGTGAGCTGCTTGTTGTGGGCGATAGAGATGCAAATTTCCGATACTGAAAAATTGTTTTTTTTCTGGGTGGGGACTGACAGATCTACGAGACGTCGATCAACATGTTGCTCATGTGCTTCACACTGGACGAAAACTTGCATGGCGGTCGTGGCAACTCGGCTCATGCGTCGGCGCCACTTATTCGGTCGGTGAACGATCACTTGCGACCCAAGTGGCAAACGGCCTTTTAGGAGCTCAAGAGCACCTTTTTATTTTGATCGCTTATATACCACTACATGTAAGTTACATGTAGATTTTCGCGTCAATACTGCAAGTTTCTGTCGTTGCGAAAGGTCGCAGCACATGGCTACATGTCCACTTACGTTATCGAAGCAACACAGTTTAACTGTGTTCCTTCGATAACACAGTTATACAGTGTTGCGTCAAGCGCTACGCCTTTTGAAGTGCCGGCCGAGTGCAGACCCAGGCAAGCCCCAGTCGAGCAATGGGCAACCGCGCACTGATCGGTAATACCAAGAAGCCCGCAGAAGTTGCATCAGTTGCCTTCAACAACGCTGACCACGAGGTTAATGCACATTGGGAGCCTATACCCACTGGTCGAATCCTAATGACAGCGTGCATAGTTTCCGCGTTGAATTAATAGAAGCCCGGTTGAGTGCTTCGAGGCTACAGTCCAGTTACTCGACAAAAGGCGCGATGCTCTCAATCGTCTCTGCTCAGGGATCCTTGCATGTATCTAATACATTGCCCAGCGCGAAAAAAGCATCTTTCGCACTCTTTTTCGCGACCAAGCGATGCTTTCGCGCACAGTCCAATTGTACCACAGCCATATTTTATTTATGTCGGTCTCCTTCGACGGCACGATGCAACTGACCACAAAGTGTCGCAAAACATGCGTTTTCACTCAATCAGTACCTCTCAGCACATTCTTCGTGGCATTCCATCTTCAAAACTACTGATTTGTGTTAGATCAATTACATTTACCACACCATTTCACGTCACAGATCCAGCCAACGCTCACACATTCCCGTTACTTCCAGGCCGAGGATACATCGGTCGCCATGACAATCAGTACACGCGCTTGACAACGGCCACAGCGCCTTCCTGATATTACTTTCCCGTTCGGATCGTGGAGCCGCTTCCGTTACGTCGCGCAGTCTGCAGGATTAACCTCAGCTGCCTATTTACCTCTCCAGGATCCTTCTTCTTAGCGTCGGATTTCTCACAGCCATGGAGCCTGCGCCGGCATCGCCGAAGCGCTCGCAGTCCGAACAGCGTCTGGACGCAGCAGAGAACGCAACCAACTTGCCGCATTCCAAGTCCATGTCTGCGCTACACTCGACACAGCAATTCCCAGAGCCTAAAGATGAAGAGGAGGAGGAACTTAATGCCACCGAGACACCCAGAGATGAAGACGCGGTAGTTGAAGGGCATCCAGACGACTCGGTGGCAACTCACTTGCAGCAACTGGAGCACAGACACGACCACTTTAAGGAGACGTCGCGTGCTGCATCGTGCTCGTCGCTACACCGACACACGTCTGCGCACTCTCGAGTCCATAACCCCTTACGTGGAGATACAAACCTCAAGATCTTTCTGCCCAGTGACAGCTTGGCGCTCAAAGCCATTCTGTCGCCGAAGAACGCGTCCAGGACAGCGCAAGAAGGCGATCCTGAAGCCAAGACAGACTCCGGTTCGTCCAATCTGATCGACAAGTTGCTGTTCCGCAACATACCAGCGCCCATGACCCCCAAGAGATCCGTCGGCAGCTTCGTAGAAGAAGATCTGGACGCTACAAACGTCGTCCACATGAACTCGAACCTGCCGCCGCCGCCATTCGCCAATATGTACGCGTGCGAATCCTGTCGCGAGGACATTGGCTCTCTGCTGTCCAAAGGCCGACACCACTGTCGCAACTGTGGTGGCTCGTTCTGCGCCAACTGCACGACCAGGACGATCATCGTGCCCTACCAAGCCTACCTGACACGAGGAGAGTTGCGCGTGTGCGACGGCTGCTATCACCGTATCCAGAATTTCCAGAGACAGGTGAAAAGCACGAGTGTCACGTGGAGTGGACTGCAGCCGCCGCCCAGCAGCGTGATAGTCCGGGACTTTGAGCTGTTCGAGGACGAAGCGCCCGTGTCGATCTTCAACTGCGCGCTGTTCCTCGAGACGACCCCGTTTTACGGACACCTGGTGCTGACACGCAAGCGCCTGTGCTTCCAGAGCTACGTCGACGGCAAGAAGCGTAAAGTCGCGTACGCACAGATCGTGTCGCTTCTGAAGCCGCAGTTCTACTACATCAACGGGCTGCAGGTCAAGACGAAGCGGAAGGAGACGTTCTTCCTGGCCGAGTTCAACGGCCTGCGCGATACCTGTTTCCTCCGCCTCGACCAGCTGATTCGAGCGTACCAGGAGGCGAGTAAGCGCAAAGGTTCGGGGCCAGGGAAGTCTCCCAGCTCCAAGGAACTGCGCAGACAAGCGCTGGACCGCAGACGCTCGTACAAGTTGATTTCCGAGCATATCGTGAGTAGCGGGACCTCGGCCAACGCGCCTCTGCCGTCGACGTCTGCGATTTCGACCGTGGGGTTCATCGATGAAGACGACGACGACGCAGATGTGTCTTTCAGTGAGGACGGAGGAGGCCACACAGACGACGGCAGGTCCACAGCGAGTGACGAAGAACCGTTCGAACCGCTACCTCCAGACCCGCTGCTGGGGAAGATGACGGTGCTGCTGGACTGCGAGCTGCGTGCTGACGTCAAACGCGTCTTCGATCTGCTGTGGAATGATGGTCCCGGGCAGGAATTCTCGCACTCGAACATGGAGAAGGCTCGAAACATTGACATCGACATTGAGTCGTGGAAGCCTCTTGACAAGGCTGACGCTGTGACGGCTGCGGAGGTTCGCAAAGGGTTTGAGATCTCCAAGGAGGACGACTACACGCTCTACCGCATGGTGCGCTCGCAACACCCTCCCAAGACCTCGTTCCCTGGTCTCCCGCCCTACGCGGGATGCACTCGAACCCAGCGATTTCGTCTGGATAAAAGCTCCAACGGCGGAGACAAGTGGGACCGCTTCGTCATCACAGAGCTGAACCGGATGAGCAAAATCCCCTTCAGCGACTACTTTGAAGTGGAGATGCGCTTCGTTTTCTCTCGGGACGGCAACAATTACTGCCATGTTCAAGCTGGTTTGGTGGTGAATTTCCTCAAAGCCACGTGGTTCAAGTCGCAGATTAACTCGTCGACGCGATCCGAGTCTAAAGAGGCTCTGGAGTCGTGGGCGAAACAAGCGATCGAGTTCCTGGAGTCTCAACGGAATCGAGTCGTGCCGCTCTCTCCGACGCTCCGAGCGCTATCTGCTGACAGTTTTAACGAGCTCGAGTCGGAACCAGGAAGTGCCGTTCATCCAGTTCTCAAACGTGCTGCGTCGGGTGCGACGCCTACTCTGAAGCGTGTGAAAAGTGCAGGAGACACCGCACTTTTTAGTGCGGAGCCTGCTGCCTTGAGTGGTGTGAACCGCGCTCAAGCCCCACGGTCATTGGTGCAGTGGCTACTGTTGGGGTTGCTGCTGTACGGACTTTTTCTCCTTCGCGGACATCAGGCACAAACGCAGCAGCTCACTGATGCGACTACAAAGTTACTAGAACACCTACAAGAGCAGCAGAGGTTCATGCACGAACAAGCTCTGAAGCTACAACAAAGATGCGAAGGTCCGTCTGTTGAAGCGGCTTTGGAGACGCTCCAAAGGTTCGTAGACACCTCAACAAAGTAACCCTACTATCTTCAAGGTTTATTTACTACTTTAGCATCAAATTATCTTAAGTTAAAAACCTTTCGGTAGTAGTATCCAAACCTTTGTTCGGTGTCGAGTGCGGCATACTAATTTAAGGGGATGATTCTCAAGTGACGAAAAATTTCGCAAGTTTTTACTACGTACTGTAGTAGTAGCTATCTACTATTAAACGTAGTACTATTTAATAGTGGACACACCACGCACTTGATCCATACCCGCACCAAAATCGTACTACCGGTAGTACTACATAAATTGGTTTTACATGAAACAGGATCTGTCTGAAGCATGAGCATTTCATCTCATTACTGCGTTCACATATCCAAAAGTGAAAAAAAAAGTCTTGCATGGCAAGTGGAGGCTTAGATGGTGGTTGTATTTCAATACTTAAGTATTGAAAACGGACTTCTGTAGATCTTTCCGAAGATTTCCTAGCCCGCGGTTGGAACTACAAACCAAAGCTGTCACTTGCGAATCACCGACCAACCCGAAAGATGTGTTTTCGCATGCAAAAACCGGTGGACCCCACTCGCCTTCTTGATCGTGCATTGCGTAAATGTTTTCATGAAAGTGTGCGCACTGGAGATATCACTGCAATGCGGCAAAAGCTGGAAAAAGAGCCTCTTCGCGAACTTCTGATCGACAAACACCACTTTTCCTCGCAGCGGTTCATCCGGATACCAGTAAAGCTGTCCAGATGATTGACCTGCTGATGAATAACGAAGCTATCCTCGGGTCTCGTGATTTAAGTAAGCGACACGTACTGCTCTATGCCTGCCATCACGGCGTGGAGTGGGAGGTGGTGCAGCGTCTTTGGAAGTGGAATGCTGCAAAAGGTGGAGGGATAATCAAGTGGTCTCACTGTGACGAAGGCACCAACAGCTCTTTGGTTCTTGCGTGTCAGGGTGGACATACGCGTCTAGCGCTGCGTCTACTGGATGAGATTGATGTGGAGGAATATGCCAGGCAAAACGACCCCTTTCATGTACTAGAAGCAGCGATCAGTACAGATGACGAAATCCACGCTATGGCCATAGCGGAACATCCGAAAGTAATTGATGGCTTTCAAGCTCGAGATCATTTTCGCTATAAAGGCTTCTGTGGTTCCTTTCTGAGCCACACGGTTTCAACTTGCACAGAGGCAGCAATTCGGCACAACATGTCTGAGCTGCTTGTGCTAATGAATGGTTTAAACCACGAGAAAGTCTGCAAAGCGGCGTGGCACTTTACTCACAGACTAGTGATCAGGTCAGATGACAGGGAGCCTATAAAGCCGGTGATCCTTGGGATTGCGGATACCTTCCTGTCGGATTGGCGATGGTCTCAATCCAAAATTTACTTTCTTGTTCGTCAACATGGGTCAAAGCCTGAGATGGCAAGCCCAAAGCTGCAGTCGCATCTTTTGGTTCGCCTTCCTGATGGACCGTTCCGATGTGTCATCGAGTTCCTCACACCAAGAAGCTTCCAGGATGCGGCGAGGGACTGTGGACTTCTTTCTTCGTGTGCTTGTATTGACAGTGTGTTTGGCAACTGCCCCTGGCATATGTACTCACCAAAAGCCAACGACTACAATGTTTAAGCATTGGGTGAGGATTTTCTGTCAATGTTCATACGCTAGGTTTACAGTAAGAACTCCTTTTGTGGCATCTCCAACGGCATGTCTAAACGGTGGTTTTATCGTAGAAACTAGCGTGTTAAAGTTTAATTCGTTTAAACACTCAGGAAACGCCAGAAAAGCTAAAAGTAGGACTTATGTTATTTTATTAGCAGTAGGTATGTCACAATCGTGAGCGATCGTTGAACACAAATAGAAGAGTGGGTCGTTCCTGAAACCTCAAAATATCAAAGTCGTAGGGTATCAAATCGCATTAAGGCATTGTACCTGTACCGTGTTCTCTACAGCGCTTCCTTTTGCTGGGTACTAGAGTATTTAACAGAGCTATTCAAATGTAACACACAGCAGTACGTGCCGTTCGGTTATGCCACCGACAACGACAGGTAAGTGTATATGATGCGGCATGGACCAATTGCTTCGCACGTTGCTGGGCCTCGGACAAATTTGGCTACATGTAAATGGGATGAGCCGACCTAAATAAAAAGTGCATGATGTCCGTTTTGATTACGCATCCTCTGGACCATATTTGGGGTTTTGAGGTTTGAGGAGCGAACCAGTATAGATGGCTAACTTTCGGAGCCTCCATGACAAGATCACGTTTGATACATGTTTTGGGCAATAATTAAAGAGAGTGTGTCGTGCGCCCAACTCGGGCGAATAAAAGAGACGCTCGGTTTTTCACCTACCCCCACAATTTATCCGGCCAGAGTATAGCGTACACTCCGGTGTGTACCCGCCACCCCGCCACTCATTTCATTCAAAACAGGGGGCAAAATGCCAGAAGATCGTCGGGTGAAGACTGCGGTGAGACGTCCCCAGCGCCGCAACTTGTGTGTCGAGACCGACGCCGACGCCGACGAGGCGTCTGCTGCGTCAACGGGAGCGCTCAGCGACGAGGAATGGGTGGATTTCCGCCACGGATACTGGACAGCAACACGAGCGGACAGTCCCAAGCAGGGCCCGATCTGGGGGGGATGGATCATACACGCCGCCTTTCAAGACGACAATGAAGACGCCCAAGGACTGGAGGTGCTCGTTGCCCCGGTTAGAGCGTTTTGAGTTTGACTCATGGGAGGATTTAGAGAGCTACTTGGCCGAGTACACTAAGGGGACACACCAGATACAATAGTGCTATATTTTTTATTCATTAGGCATTTTTACCTGACTGTTGTACTTTGTTGAATCCGTAGAGCTTCCGTATCCACACGAAGAACACAGTGACTGCACGCAATGCCAAGATTCGCTCAACGGGGTCAAAGAAGCCGTTATTTCCAGACGAGTGGGTGAACTACGGCAAGACCTACATATGTACACACTCAGGGACGTACAAGTCGAGGGGTAAGGGGAAGAGGAAGCGTCTGCAGTCGCGGGCTATGAAGTGTGAGGCGCAGGTACGCTTGCACCTCAGCTGGTCTTAGTTGAACTCGGTTGGGCAATAGCGCCACGAGTTGGGGAGAGTTGGGTCGAGTTGGGACTAACTGTGTACGTGGTTCTGTGATTTCTTACTGCAGATCAATGCGTGTGTCCAAGTCGACGACGCTAAGGTCCCGACATTCATCTTGAGAATCACTTCCGCACGATTAGTGCACAACCACCCTGTGAACAAGCTGACGTACAACCAGTATCCACACGTGCGAACCGCGTTGGCGTCAATCTATTTACGAGTGGAAAATACTAAGCTATCGGTCAACACTCCGACACAAATTCGAAAGATTCAAGTGCTGGTGAGGATTTGCGTGTGGCGAGCGGCAAGACCGAGTAGGACGAGTTACGCGTAATGAGTGGTGAGACAACGTCAAGTGCAGTCGCGATTGCGGCTTCAGAGCTGGCAAGCTCCAGGTCGGACGCTGTACAGGTTACCCTGGTGGCCGCTGACTTGAACTCTGATACTGCTGAGTTGGGCTCCTGTTCTGCTGAGTTGGGCTCGGATACGGCTGAGTTGTGCTCGGATAGTACTCAGTTGGGAATCAAAAATGCCCGGTTGGATTCGAATTGTACGGTGCTGGCCAGACAGGATTGTGAAAAATCACAAAACTACTTTCCGAACCACAGAAGTATTGAACTAAACGAGGATGAGCCAGAAGTGTGGATTTAATGGATGTCAACGCTGAGTTTGAGCTACAAAACCCGCCAAAACCAAGGGGGGGGCGAAGCAAAAGGCCAAAGCCGTCGAAGCAAAGCGAAACCTGGCGATTGAGATGGTGCAGGAAGATATGACGCTCCATGAGTGCAATATGAACCTTGAGAAGGTTCGTGAACTACTGGACAACCATCCGACCTTCCTCAGTTCAAGTGAGACCCTGTTACAGTTCAACGTCTTTAATTTTCTGAAAAAACCGAAGCCCCCTATTGCGTATGAAATTTCAAAGCTACCTGCGACTAAACCGCTGATGCGAGAGGACGAGATTGTAAGGGTGTTTCCATTGGATCTCATTAAGAAGTGTGACCGCGAATCAGCGAAAGAGCAGAGGCATCCGCGAACTCGATGTAGCTTTCGAGATTGTTGGAGTGGGAGTGCTCACGAATGCGACGATCAAACTTATGAAAATTTGGCACGCTGCCGCCGTTGCATGTAAAAAGATCGGCAATGCCTTGACGTGAATCTCTACACTGGACTTTTCACGCCACGGAAACCCCAGCTTTCATGTCGAAGCCGACCCTACACTTCCGAATAAACTGAAGAAGATGGAATTCTGACCTCTCAGGTAAGGAGAGTACACTTAGCGTTTTTGTGACCGATAGTAGACAAACGTGTAAGCAGATAGAAGTGCTGGCTCTGGTTGGAAAGGATTTGATCAGTGGTGAGGTGATGCACAAGTTGCTGACCAAACTGTTTCTACCTGGTTCTGGCGATGTCGTATTCGACGTGTCCTCGTTGGGGGTTGTTGTGGATGGAGAAGTGAGCACCTCCAACGACGTTATCAGAGAAGCGCTTTCCGGAGTCAGCAAAGAAAAAATGCTGATTCCTGTCAATTGCCATGGAAACCACTGGTGCGCCATCATGATGGACCTTAAAGGCGGCACAGTGGATGTGTATGGCTCTAGCTCTTCATCGTACTTGATTGGTGTGCGTGCAGTAGCGCAGAAAATGATAATACTTCTACCTACAAATGTCAAAAACCAGCCCGTGTGCGAGCCTTTGAGTATGGCCTAGGTGTACAGACGGACAGCTACAACTGTGGAATCTACGTGTTATTGGCATTCGAGATGTTTTGTGGTGCTGAACCACTTGTATACTTGGACAAGAAGACACTGCAATGCCTTCGCTACCGGTACCTTCGTAAGAGTATGGAAGAATAAACGAGAGATAGTTTATTGGATCAATTGGCTCAATACATAAGTTCATCCTCAGTGCGTGTCTGTTGTCATAAGACTCTTCTTCAAAGACGAACTTAAGTAGTGTGGTGAAGTGCTTTCTCAGAAATAAGAGAATGGGCCTGACGCGGGGTCACTATCCCGAATCAGTGACAATTTCAAGTGATTAGAGAGGATTTGGATTGTCTGGCACGGATGCAAGTTGCCTGCGGCGAATTAGCCATGACGAGCGGCCCCCCGTATGAAGTGACGGTGGATCTGGTATGAGCGATGTACGAGAAGGCAAGATCCACCAAGACTTACCTCGGATCCACCCTTACCTGGACTCACTTAGATGGATATGTGGTATACTATATACGGGTGGATCGAGTGTGGATCCTATGAAGGAAAGATGGTAGGTGCCATCTGAAGGTGGATCTAGTAGCCACGGTTAACAAGAAGTCAAGATCCACCGCGAGGTACCCGGATCCCATAATCCTGAGTTCGGATCCAAGGAGGGAGGATCCCGCATAGAGGGGCCTGGATCCAGGGTATAGGGATGATGGATGCAGTGGATCTCGAACTTTCGTGGGACAATGGAGATCACAGACGGTTGCGAGATGATGTTGGATGATTGGAGAGCTCAGATCCACGACGAGTGTACATTCACAGTGAAGTGGATCCAAGCAACCTGGATCCGGATGAGTGTACCCATAATAGGGTGATGTGGTGTAGTGATTTCTCCGTAGTTGCGGATTATCACCCGTCGACAAAGACGTGACACCGCCCAAGTTGTTCAAGCGACGAACCCTCGGTCAGGTGATGTACGGAGACGCTAAGGTGCAAGGGACTCGACGGCGTCACCTCCGAGTTTTCAACAAGTATCGGATACGGCCCTATGTCACTGAATCCAGGCTGTCCTTATTATTAATAATGGACTGGCCGGATTCGCATTCAGCGGACCATCTACGGTACGAACCCTCAGTGGCGGTTGGGATGAGTTCGCGGAATACTCAGCGACCTTTGGAAGACACGTTCACCGTCTGGGACAGGGCGCGGACCGTTAAAGATGCTCATGCGACGGTGCAGACGACGCTTGGCATGCAAGAAGATCCATAACGGATCATTGTTCACTTGATATTTGTATACTTGATTAGGACTTCTTATTAGGAATAGACCCGAAAGGGTAAGCTTAAATACAGAACAGAATTTCCACTCAAGCACACAGAGCGACGTCCGGCTTCAAGGTAAGCGTCAGGTCAAGCTTGTTTGAGTGTGTTATGCCTGTCGGTGAACTCGAAGCTCTGTAGCGAGGGTTCATCCGGCAAGGCC